CGTAGGCGTGACATCCGGTTATCAACCAAGGGACGTGTGTACTGCTCATCAGTTCGCTCCGTCCTTCTCTATGGCTCTGAAACATGGCCAATACGCGTTGAAGACATGAAAAGGTTGACTGCTTTCGATCATAGATGTCTGCGATCTCTGTCTCACGTTAGGTGGTTTCATAAGGTAAGTAATGTTGACGTTAGGCGTAGAGTGTTGGGCAAAGAGGGAAAATCAATCGACGAGGCTATAAAGTTACATAGACTAAGATGGCTAGGTCACGTGCTGCGCATGCCTAACCACCGCCTCCCCCGACGGGCATTACTAGCTGATATAGGTGCAGGTTGGAAAAGAGCCAGTGGTGGCCAAACAAAAACATGGCATCAATCCATGAAATCCTTGACAGTTAAACTGAGTCAGGTAGGGAGATGCAGACTCCCGGGTTGGGGCCCTCGGGACTCTAGGAATCAATGGCTGGAGACAATAGGTGACATGGCTCAAAATCGTTGTCAATGGCCAGCGCAGATGTATTCAGTCTCTGTAATCTTTCATATTCCTTTCTACCATTACCCATTCTGTTTCACTCTTATACTTGTCAGACTCTATTGATTCTCTTCACTCATCTTCTTGTCTACCTTTGTGTGCTATTTGGAACGTGGCAACTCGAACTGCTGCACTTCGGTGCCAAGTTCTATGTTGAATCCAGACAGGCAACTATGTTTATAAGCGAATTAATTAGGGTCGTTAAAAGTCTTCACTGAAGTTCCAAGGTTAAGTAAAAGCAGTCTTTCCATTATTTTGAAAAAAGGTGATTTAATGCCAATAAGTCTGAAACTAATAGTTGGTCCACTTGATGATTTAGACACGGACAATTTTAATGTCCTTCAAATATGAGTTAGTGGAGTTGCAAGTCTGATTATTGCTGAAATCTAGGTTTCTGTTCTAGTTGAAATCATCATCGATTTACTGTAAAATAGAAATTTGTTACTTTTAGAATGTTATTCAAATAGATTATGAGACTTTGACTTCATAGAATGCTGTTTTCGTTTTAGCTACTGATGTCAACTTAATATCTCAGTATTGTCTTATACATCTCAGATACATACTTATATGAAGTATATCTGCTACTTCCTACATGATAACATCAAAGTGGAATCTCCTAAAATCGCGTTTGTGTGCATATTTGCTCGTGGAGTCATTATTTAAATGAAGTGTTACAGTGGGGAAATTTCAATCGTACATATCCTTTAGAACAAGAATGTTAATATTTTGAATAATCACTGAATGTATGACTATTCCTTAAATTATATTTGTGTGCATACATACATCTGTGCTCTATAGACGCTTCTATGGATACTGAGTCAAATTCCAAAGACCTGGTCTCTTCTCCCACCTAATACCAAGCTAAAATTGCTTCTTTTTCAGTAATGTTTATGGATTTATCCACATGTGTATTCTCAGAACAAACTATATAATAATTCTCATGATACAGAAAGAAAGGATTGGTTGAATAGCCGAAGATATTTGGAAAGGCATTGTGTTATTCTCAGTGTAGATGTTATCACCAACCGAAAAAAACTTAGGAAGTTATTGGTGCACTCACATCATGCCTTTATTAACTCATGCACAATTCTCACTAGCTGGTTATTTCATTCATCGCAGTTTGATGGTAATGGTCTACGAATATACTTTTTATTTTTAGAAAACAAAAGCAGTGAGCCAAGAAATATTTACTTTTCAATTAGATTATGATCTCTGGCTCTACTCTAATATATATAGCACTTCTATTACAATACACAACGATATGCCAGTCAAGTGGCGCCTTTTTTGTTAATTAATCAGTATCCACATGTCAAGGGGGCGATAATTAATGAAGAAAATTAATACATATAATTAAAAGGTAGAAATATTTACAAAACGTGGATTGCATGATGCATAATTTTGGAAAAATGAAGAGCAACCAAGGAATAAGCGAGTGCTCAAGTTGATTAATTAACAGATTATTAAAGAAAAGAAAACGATTTGGACAATGGTAACTTGTAATTAAAGATGAAGTAGTTAAAAAAATAAAATAATTTGAACAATTGTAATTTTTAAAGGTGTATGGGGGGAGGGGGTGCGAAGTAGTCCGGTTTATACATTCATGTAAAGATAGGCAAGGCCAGGAAAGTGGTTGTACAAATTTCTTCTGAACACACAGGTTTGTCTTCTTTGGGTGAATTCCTATGGCTTCAACTGTATGTAGAAGACAAACTCGCAAAGCAAAACTGAGATTAGTAAGAATGCGATAAATAATTTTAAACGCTTTATTAACATCAATTTTATGTTCACTATCTACGAGGTGTGCTAAACGCAGAGCCACGAATAGATCTTGTTTGTCCCTCACTTAATCATGCCATATGATGTTCGGAAATATGATGATGAATCTGCCTAATTTTATGCCGAATATAGCTGGCTCTGCAGCTGCAGTCAAACTGGTAGATACACATTTTGAATGATTAACCTGCTCTTCCTATTGTGTATGGAAACTGTACTGGATAAACAGAATTGGTGGACAGTGTTTGTATACCCTAAGATTTAAACACCAATAAGATACATTTTCTTACCACGGAGTTCAGTACTATGTGCAACAGAACTAGTGCTCATCTGAATATTTAATCAATGCTTGTGACAATTCAGTTTCATGCAGTTTTTTCTCTACATGTTTTGAAGATTAGTAAACTATCAGAAAATGTCTTTTTACACAGTAATCAGTAAACTGATTTATTTAATTGTTGCAAATATCAGAATCCAGATCGCATGTTATTTCCTCTTCCGAACTCATCATCTGAAACACATCAGTATCTCCGGTGATTCATGTTGTTTCCTCTAAAATTCCAACCGAATACTCATTGTTTCAAATACTTCTCACTAAGCGGCGATGCAGGTACACCCAACCTAAGAAACCCAAATAGAAGGAAATGCGTTCCCTACATTCTAGTGCTAGTCCTAATTGATCAAATTACATGATGTTAACTCTAAGGTATTGTTAAAGTGTCAGTGCAATGGGCCGATGTATGGATAGAGACTCGACAATTATACATCTCATCCAAGAGTTATAGGACAATGCTGCATGCCAAGTAATCGACAACAGGAAACTTACGGAAGCCTTCGAAGTGAGGCAAGGCTGTCTACTATCCCCAATGATCTTCCTGATTACAGTAGATTGGATAATGTGTCAGACAACCGGCAATGAGTAAACGGGCATAAAATGGACTCACACAAAAAACTTGGAGGATCTGGACTTCGCCGATGATATATGTCTGATTTCCCACAAACTGGAAGATATTCAAGTGAAAAGCAACAAGCTGGCAGAAGAAGCATCCAGAGAAGATAGGACTTCCTTCAGGTGAATATAGGAGAAACAGAGGTGATGAAGATTCCTGGCCAACAGCAACAACAAAAACAGACAAAAATCAGCAAGCATAAATGGGAGGAACCTGAAAGAAACAACCTCCTTCACCTACCTACCTGGGAAGCATCGTTTCAACTACAGGCGGGACTGACGAGGATATCAAAGCCAGAATCGGAAAAGCAAGACAAGCTTTCATTACTCCTAAGTCTGTGTGGAGGTCAACAGCACTCAGCATGAAGCAACAATAAGATCCGGATTTTCAACTCCAATGTGAAGTCAGTGCTAGTCACTATACGGATCAGAGACTTGGCCAGCGCGTCATAAAGAGCATCTCAAACAAACTACAGACCCTCATTAACAGTTGTCTTCGCTCAGTACTCAAGATCAGATGGTCGGCCAGAAAAGATCAGCAACAGGGATCTCTGGTAACGAGCGAACCGATTGCGAAACAAATAGGCAGGAAGAAATGGAGGTGGATTGACCATACTCTGAGGAAACCATCAAGTGACATCACTAGATAAGCCATTGTTCGAGTGGAACCCGAAAGGGAAGCGACGAGTGGGTCGTCAGTGTAAGGGTGACTTGGAGGAGGTCATATGAAGAGAAGATGAAAGCATGTGGGCAGACTTGGAGCGGGGTGAAAAAGTTGGCAGAAAACCGAAGGCAATGAAGACGCGCAGCTGAAGCCCTATGTTTCTCTAGGAATTCAAGGATATAATAATAAAAGTAGTAATAATAATAATAATAAATGGCGATGCAGGTAAACCCAACCTTAGAAACCCAAATAGAAGGAAATGCGTTCCCTACATTCTAGTGCTAGTCCTAATTGATCAAATTACATGATGTTAACTCTAAGATATTGTTAAAGAATTAGTCCAATGAGCCGTTCTGTCAACACAGATTGAACATTCAGGTCTAGTGAGACCAATCAGGCGGGAATTCAAAATAAATATCCCTACAAATAATTCAGATATTTTGATGATATGAACCATGATAATATTAGTACATATGCACTAAAATCATGGTGTATGTGTAGTTAACACCTGGTTATAAAGTAGAGAATAAGATAAATTTATACTTACACAGATATAATGAAACCTGTTTGTCTTTATCTAACAATAAGAATAAACATTTAATTATTATATCGTATATTTCATTTTACTAAATAATAAAATTATAGTTTAAAAAGTTTCAAGGTCTTATACACAATAAACGGAAAGTACATCATGAGAATAACTTTTACCCAACAATTCTTCCTATTGAATGTTTGTCAACATCCACCTTTAAAATAGCTTAATAATATTATAAATAAAAATAACTTGCTATGACTACACAAACAATGAAATGTTTCTTTGTCCATGTAGCAATATCATGGATACTATACTGTTTCTCATAGCAATAGACGGTAGAAATAATATTCTTCATGTATTCCTTATCTATAAAAGTACCACTTTTTGTTGTCAATATCTAAACTTTAATTGGTTTAAATTCACCTGGTATCTTTTCAATCTTTATATTTACAAGCCTAATGGATATTACTTGTAATACATATCATTTATAACAGTCAACTTTAGAAAAAGTGGAGAACATTTCACATTATAACTTTCATTAGAGTATTATGTGGCTGATATTTTGTTTGATTACAGTATGTAAGTTACTCATTCGATTATTCAACAGATGTATATAATGTTGCAATATTTTTTTGACTATATCATTACACATTTTTTTCTTAATGAAATAATGAGAGCAAAATTTCGATAAGAATGTTTACCAAACCAGGTAATTTACCATAGTGTAAAATTTAACTTGATGTTAGTTGGTTGTAGGCAATCACCCAGTGCTTCAATCATACAGGTTACCACGGAAGTAGTAAAACTCAAGAGATTGTCAACTATTGCATACTAGCCGAGAATTAGTCATTTTAAATGTACTATTAACTCTGCTTCAAACTAAAACCTGATCTCCTTATTGTCATTATACGACAAAGGCTAATAAATCGATATGAAACTATTAGAAGAAACAAATTGAGTCGTTTAAATCAGATTTATGTTCTGGTTACTCTCTTGTCCTTGAGTGTATCTCTTCTCCTAGGTCACTTTCATATTATAAAGAGAAGAATAAGGTGGCTGCTTATAAAATCCATCTTAGCAATTACACTTACTGTGAATTTATTTATTTCGTTGGGGTTAGTGTCGGAATCCTGTATGCACGTTTAGTTCTACTCGAGACCCGTCAGCTGTATGCACTTGGCCTGTAGTGAATACTGATGTTCCCACTGATATTTGAATTGAGTAACCACTGCTTTAAACGCAGAGTTTTTCATTAGGCCACTTAGATATGAGACAACTTCAAGTGAGTATTCATAATAATTCCTAGGCATCTGTTCAAGGAAATCAAATGCCAAAATAAGGCTGACCAACTTATTTCAGATATACAAACGGGAGATCGTATGTATAGATAAACATCCTCATGATTATCGGATATACTGTTGAAATTAATATAAACATGCTAAAGGATATCCTGCCATACTTTAAATACGTAACAAATCAGATGTCAGCATTATGACTAGGTATTTTCTTTACTAGTTAATTCAACAAAATGTAAGCTATTGATGTAGTGAATGTGATTGACAGGATAACTTCTACATTCACCATCAAACCTGCTTGTCAAGATCGGTACAACACTAAGACAAATGAAGATGAACTGATACGTGTGTACAAGTTAATCGAATAGTTACACCATACAGAAGTTTAAAAAAATGAAATAAATGGCTTGACTCCAGGAAATAGAATTATACATTAATTAGTGTATTGTTATATCTTACCAACACAACTTATACTAAATAAGAGACCAAAATATTTTTCATGCAAGTGTGCTATAAAAATATAGGCCCTAAGGTTAGATTCCTTACAGCAAATAAACATAAGTGAGCAAATATTCGGCCCCAATCTCTTACGGGTTTTTTGACAGTAGCAAGATCACAGACTACTTTAAGTGGGAATTGCTAATGTAACCAAGTGAAGTATCCTACTGACGAATCTAGACATATTTTACATATTTAGAAGTCATTTCTTTGGTCTTTTTTGCCACTTGTTTCAATCGTTTTCATGCTTCTTATTGATCGCCTTAGCGCAGAAACATGTGGAATTGTGCGTTAGGTCATATGTCTAACATCAAGCATTAATTGGCTCTGTTGTTACGAATCATTGGCTTAAACGTTTGACTTTCAGTCAATAGGTCCCCATTTCGAGGCCTGCGGTGCCTACTCCAGCCTGAGCAGCTGAGTACTATTATCAGACCCTACACAGTAAGGTTGGCTCATAGCCTGATGAATGAGAAATCTCCCTCAGGTAATTGAATTCTAACAACATCGCTGTGAGCACTTTCTCACTTTCTAATGTCTGTCTGTCTGTCTGTTTTCGACATAGAACTTTGCACAAATGTGCGGAAGTTCAAGTCGCCACATTCCGTGTAGCACGCGAAGTAAGAGAAGAAAGTACAAGAAAAGCATAATAGAGACAGTGAGCAGAGGTGTGAGACAAAGGAGTAATACAGAAATACAAAACAGTTTCATTGAAGATCATAAGTCACAGGGAGTGGATGCATCTGCGCCACTGAGAACGATTTTGAGCCATGTCACCAATTGTTTCCAACCATAGATTTTTACCGTCCCGAGGACCCCAGCCTTGACTATGTGGTGAAAAAGTTCTCTGTCATGAGGATAATTATACAGTTTGTAAAGTTCAATGTATGTTATTCCTATTTACGTGAATTGGTTTTGTATAATGGCCTTTTGCGTGTGTTCACAATAAACCTGAAAGCAGATTATCCAAGGTAATTACAAACTGAATGTGTGTTTTATCAACAGAATGCCAGAAATCAATGATTTCCTTTTGTTTATTTCTTCTAGTCCAATTTTCCCTTGAGTTTTTTGTTGATATATGGGTGTTTTAAACTGATGCCACGAATTTACACTGAACTTCAATCTCTTGTTATCTACTTGATAGAGATTTATGTTGAAATTTAGGTCGATTTAATAGGACATCTCTTTTTTCAAATGACGCATTTTAAGTTTTTGATGTTAACACGGTTTTTTCCTTGTTTTGCATTTTAGCATATGCTATACCAGTAGATTTTCCGTGTTATGATGAAACATGGTTGTATTCGAATGAAACAGGAAAATGTTATAAGGCGATATTAGGAGCACAAAAGTTAACATTTGCAAATGCTGCTATAGCTTGTAGAACACATCTACAAAGCGTTTCACAAGTTTCAGTAAATTTGTTACAATTTGCCGATGAAAATGAGGCTGATTCAGTTGTGAAAATGTTATCTCAAAATGGATATAGAGAAACAGTATGGCTTGGTGCAAATCGAAGTGGTAAGAACTTTTAACATTGGACTTATTTTCTATGAACCTTTGAGAATGTTGTTTCTGTGTTAACTACAAATTATTTTGTATCTTAGGAGTATTTATCACACTAACTGTCAGAATAACTAAATTTACACAGTTTGGTATTAATAAAGACATCCTTACTCTAATGAACTGACTTCAGTTTAATAAAGATTAGGAACTAAAGAGTGCTAAACTTCTTTTTTCATCTACTTTGAGATTTATTAGAAGCGAGCGTCTGCAAGCATGTTGCAGATTTGATTGAGGTCCATTATTATTATTATTATTATTATTGTTATTATTATTATTATTATTATTATTACTGTTGTTCCCTGGGGTTTCAATTGGAATGTAGGGCTACAACAGCACATCTCCACTTTGTCCTATATTCTGCAGTCCTGTTTAGCTGATCTCACGATTTCCCATAGTCTCTTATCTATTCCACGAAAGATCTCCTCCATGTTATCCTCGGACGCCCCATTAATTGTTTCCCACCTGGGTTCCATTAGAGGGCTTAGCACCATTGTATTACAATCTATTAAATCTCCTCTTTTACAACTGAACATAGTTGTTCGAATTCATTATAATGGTCAAAATGTATTAACAGTGGTTTCCAATGTCTGCATTTGACTACACAATACAAATATCACTATCATTTGACCTGAAATAAACAATACCAACTTTTAACTAGCCACGAACTCACTACAATCACTTAGCTTGTTAGTACGAATTCTTGACTGACACTTCTACACTGGGTTCCATTCAGACAGGAGATAGACTGCAACTGTGACAATTCAGTCACGTAGCACACATATTATCTGGTAATGAGGTAACTCAGTTAATTGAAACAAAGAATTATAGTGGGAATTTAGTGATGAATTAATTTTAGCTCCGTAATCATTAGAAGCCAATGAATAATGAACAGATTTATCATCCAAACACTTCGTAAAACTTTTACAACCCCATGAATAATCTAACGCAATCAGTGTCTCACAAACAGCCAATATATATATATATATATATATATATATATATATATATATATATATATATATATATGAATCTACTGAAATATTGAAAATTTTTCGAAGTTTTATAAACCGCAGTTCCTGTAGTTTATTGTGGGAATCATTGTATTTATTGGGTAAACTGTCACACCAGCTCTGTTTGAATTTAAATATACGAATGCCATAAAGTTGCTCATTACACGTTTCTCTTTATTTTATAACGAAATCTCTCATCTTGTATTCTTTTGATTCAGAATTTCATATTGTAGCAAATGAATAATTTTTACAATTATCATATCGTGAATTTTTAAATTTATTTCCTATTAGTTAATGGAGAGTATAGCAAGACGGTAGACATACTTTGGAGTTAGCACTGAAAATATTTAGGAAGACAGTGAATTCTTTGTCATTAGAGACTTCAGCTCAATGAATCGTAACACTGGAAACTGACTACCTCGTAATTCTCAATGATCTGCTTTGAGAGTTTAATTCTTATTAGTTTGCTTTCACTCTATTACATAGAAGTATAACTATTCGGCCTTTGCAGTCGGCTTTGAACCAAACTTATTGGAATCCTAAAGCCGTTCTGTCTACTTCAGCACAGATGAGCGATTAGTATCGCATATGTTCACAATTCCAGTCCCGGTTGTATGTTGGTTAATAAAAATACTAACAAAAGTACATACTAATGACCAATCATATTTAGATAGGTCATGCAGTCCAGGGTAGGCGAAGATTGAAGTATATTGATTTTTGCACACACAGTTTAGGCTGTATGTGATTAATCCAAAGTGCTTCCATCACCTTCAATAACCTTGAATTAGAGTTATGTGAAGTAATTGTGAAACAGTCATTAATATTTATTTTGTGACCAGACATTAATTTATCTACATGCACTCTATCCCAACTACAGTTGGAAGCATTATCTTATGGAATGAAGTACAAAACTATTCCCATGAAAATTAACAAAATGGAAGTCCAGTCACAGTATGAAAACCTGTATGACCAAATCTCTGATTTAACTCCCTTTAGTAAAGATAATCTGGACTGGTTTAAAGTTAAACTGGTGGACATTTCTCATCAATTTCTAAATGCTAGAATACACCAGAAAAATGGTTTATCAAAAGAACACCACGCCGCACTTAAGGAATTAATCGAAAAAGATAATCTTGTGATCCTTAAACCTGATAAGGGAGAAGGCGTTGTCATTATGAACAAATCGGATTATCAAAATAAAATGAACGATATCCTCAAAGATCAGTCCAAATTTCTGCTGGACAATGCTACTGATAACGTGCTGCTTGTGGAAAAGCAGATCAATCGTCAGCTTCAGATTTTACTGATGCATGGTTTTATAAATGAAAAACTTTATAAACAACTTAAACCAATTGGGTCACATACTCCTCAGCTTTATGGTCTTCCGAAGATCCACAAAACTGGGAACCCACTGAGACCCATCTTAGACATGTCAAATTCTCCTTATCATAAAATCGCCAAATGGATTACAGAGGTCCTTACGCCTGTAAGAGACTCATTATCAAATCATTCTGTAAAAAGTTCATTTGATCTTACAGAAATGCTGGACACCTTGAACATTAAGGAAAAGGTTATGTGTTCAATTGACATAGAATCTTTATTCACCAATGTTCCCCTTCATGAAACTGTTGATTTTATTTGCGATTACATCACAAGCAACGGCATAAACTTACCCATTCCCGTCACTTACATCAAAGACATAATCTTAATGTGTACAGAAAATATTAGATTCACATTCCAAGAAAAGGCATATAAACAAATCGATGGTGTTGCGATGGGGAGCCCTCTGGGGCCCCTGTTAGCAGATATATTTATGTCGAAATTAGAGAAACAAATGCAAGGTATGCTTGGAGGATTTATGCTGTATAAACGTTATGTAGATGATACTCTTATTATTGGTAATAATAGTGAATCTATTGAAAACTTCATTACTCTATTTAATCATATTCATCCAAATATTCGAGTGACTTCCGAACTAGAATCGAATAACAAACTCGGTTTCCTGGATATTACTATGATTAGGAGAAATGATGGAACGATTCAGCGCTCTATTTTTCGTAAACAAACATGGACTGGACAATATCTTCATTTTACCAGTTTTGTTCCTATCCAGTATAAACGTTCCCTAGTGAAATGTTTGTTCTCAAGGGCCCGAAAAATATGCACGAGTGACACACTGATGGATGAGCTTCGACATGTACATTCAGTTTTATTAGCTAATGGTTATCCGGAGAGCTTTATCACTTGTCACAGCAAAGAAAAACCACATCTCGAAAAGACAGCTTCTGTACCAAAGAAAGCCATCTTTATTAATCTACCATTCAAGGGCGACCAGATTATGCAGTTGACAACTCAAAGACTTCGATCAGCCATCAAACGCACATTCTACGCCGCATCTCTTTTTCTCACTTGCCGAACATTTTCGATCCCTGTTCCTACGATTAAAGGACGAAATTCTGTGGACTCTACTTCAAACTGTATCTACAAGTTCACCTGCAGCTGCGGTGACACCTATATAGATAGAACTAACAGAATGTTCCAATGTCGTCGAAAAGAACATATTCCAAAATGGCTAGTAAATCATATCGAAAATCCTAACGCGATTAATCTTAATAGAAATCCAGCATCATCCATTGCAAAACACTTATTAATGTCTGGTCACAAAATAAATATTAATGACTGTTTCACAATTATTTCACATAACTCTAATTCAAGGTTATTGAAGGTGATGGAAGCACTTTGGATTAATCACATACAGCCTAAACTGTGTGTACAAAAATCAATAGACTTCAATCTTCGCCTACCCTGGACTGCATGACCTATCTTAATATGATTGGTCATTAGTATGTACTTTTGTTTTTATTTAACTGAGTAATTTTCATGAACTTTATTTTATCATTGTTAACCATGTTAGTTGTAAAGCGGTTGTAAAGAAACTACGAAATGATATCATCTCGCGAAATTTGTCTTCTTAATGCCTTGTTCTAATAAAAATACGTGCCCCATTGACGAATCACATTATTTTTCCATTTCATGCTTTGTTTTACTGTAATGAAAAAGTCATCAAATTTCACATAAATACAGTTTTCATAATGCTTTCTATTCACTGTTTTGTTTTTTCCAAATGAAATCTCGATGAAGAAATTAGCCGGAATTTAATATTTTTACGTCTGAATAACAGTTTAAGATTTTTTAATTTTTAGATCCAAAACAACCATTTTTATGGTATATGGATGGTACTACTGCCAGCTTCAGTTACGTTTCATGGTCTGAAGGAACTAAAACAGGCGACTGCATTGATTTCGTATATTCAACTCAACCAGTTACAGGAACAAACAAATGGACTGTTATAAAAACTATTGATAACAAACCATGTGATTTGACACGTTCTTTTATCTGTGAACATAAAGGTTGGTAAATTCATGTAATATCAGTGTTTTATGTTATGACAGATGGATTTTTATTTAAACCGCTAAATTATTATGTAGCACTATACCACTTTTATTATTTCTATCAAAAATTAAATCATTTTTAAAGGTTCCGAGTGGAACATAGGGTTTCAACAGCATACCTCCATTTCATCCTGTTCCATGTAGTCCATTTTAACTGGCTTCACGATCGCCCATAAGCTGTCAACTCCTCCATGTCACTTTCAGACTCCCAGCCTGTGGTTTTCCACTCGAGGGCCTGGCACACAATATAATACAATATAATTCAAAGGTCTTCTCAGCGTCTGTCCGATTAGTCCCTATTTTCGTCGACATATCTGTGGAGCAATAGATTCTTTGTTGGATTCATTTCAGACTTTCCTGCTCCTAATCCTTGCTCCCCATCTGATTTTCAGTATGGACAGAAGGAAGCTGTTGACGAATGTTTCCAGCCTGTCGAAAATGCTTAATAATGATAACAGTGATTTGCCTTATTCAAAGTACTTATGATACAGTGTGAAATTTCCAGCATTTTGTATGATAGTGCATCTAATTTACTGACACATTATAGGGTACACTTAACCAAAAGTGATAACAACCAACTGTTGGCATTAGCAGGAACAATAGGGTCAAAAATACAAATGTAAAATAATAAGAGTAATAATATTAGTATTAATAATTGAGCCATCTTTAACGCTAATTACACAGTAACTGGTAAGTTTCACGTTTAACAATATCTTTATCACATAGAATGAGAACCAAATAGGGTATCGTTGAGGTTTTACACTTGGTAGTCTGAGCGTATAATCTTTCACACAGACTTATGTTCCTACCAGACGAGATGCAAGGGGAGAGTTGTGAATACAGAGGCTAACTCACCAAGTCTCTAGACTACATAGAAGTGACTTCAGATTGGTTCCGGGAATCCGAATCTTGTTCTTTATGCTGAATGCAGCACATTTTTCAGTGAATTTAGATTTTATCACTTTTACTTATAAACTATCTGAATGTATGTATGTATTTTGACTGTTTAGAATCATTGTAATTGTGTGGTCTAGATTCGTTTCACCAGTGATACAAGAGTGAATTCATTCATTCCTTGATTTCAAGAGGAAAAAAGATATTAGCAACTCACGAAGACGAAAGTCACCTAGATGTGAAGCAGTTTCGTTAAATGTCTGCTTAGCACAATCATGAATTCAAATTGAAATGTTGGTTTGAAAGACATGATGTCAGAGTAAGAGAGGAATCCTGGTACTATAGTTTAGTATAATTCTATATTAGATAGAATTAATATCAGTCATATGCAGTCGAAATGACACAGTATCTATCCAAGATCTATAGAAAGTCACAATAAAAAACAGAGGAAAGTGAGGTTATATAAAGCCAGCTATCAATTCGTGAGAATACACTGATATGATTATGAGCAATAATCTTATTACTATTATTATAGTATTATTATTAATACTGCATCACGCACCATATCTTACATCAAGTAAACTTATTTGATGTGAAATAATGTTGGAACTTTTAAAGAAATCGATAGTTGAATAATCGTATACCTATTAGGCATAAAATCTAATGTTACAAGGAGAAATTCCACCTATTCTCATTCAAGCCTAACAGATGCTTTTTATTCTCTAATTTATCTTTCAGACATTTCAGAGATTTCATTCATATATTTTTTCTTAAACAGACAAACCGGTCGAAGAAGCAGCCGGCGAAGACAGGACTCCAAGTGAACATAGACAAGGTGGAGGTGATGAAAATAACCAACCAACAACAACAACATCCAGTGCCAATCACCATCAACGGGAGGGATTTGAAAGAGGTGACTTCATTCAGTTATCTGGGGAGCGTTGTCTCAACTACAGGCAGTCGGAACGGACGGAGATGTCAAATCGAGAGAGAATCGGGAAGGCGAGAAACACATTCATCAACCTGAAACCAATCTCGAAATCTTCGTCACTCAGCACCAACAACAAAATTCGGATCTTCAATACAAACGTAAAGTCATTTCTTCTATACGGATCAGAAACTTGGCAGGCGGGTCACAAAGAATATTTCCAACAGCCTGTTGCAGACCTTTATCAACCAACAACTGTCTTCTCTCTATGCTGAAGACCAGATGGCTGGAAAGAATCACCAACAAGAAACTATGGGAAAAAACGAAACAAGAACCAATCGCCCAACAACAAATGTGCGGGAGAAAGTGGAGATGGATTGGACACTCACTGAGGAGGCCACTGGGTGACATCGCGCGTCAGGCCATTGCTCGAGTGGAATCCGAAAAGGAAGCGGCGAGTTGGACGTCGGTGCAAGGGTGACATGGAGGAGATCGTGTGAAGAGGAGTTGAAACAGTATGGACTAACATGGATGCAGGTGAAAAATACAGCAGAAGACAGAAGCAAGTGGAGACGTGCGGTTGAAGTCCTATGTTCCACTAGGAACCCAAGGGAACAATAATAATATTTTCTTAACTGATTCACTTATCTAGCTGCTGTAGGTGGTGAACAGGATATATTTAACCACTATGAGAATAATTAAGCGACTTCATCATCTGACAGAGATTTTAACTTATTTTCGGTCCACATGGTTTTACAACTGTGAGCATAAATTCTAAATTTTGTATCGCCAATATAAACTATAATTACAAGACTATAACATTTTAATAATGCATCTAATTGTATGAAATATTAGTTTTATTTCAGAAAAAGATATTTCTCTCAATTAAAACTGGGAAGACTTCATCGTACTGCTTAACACCGATAAATGACAAATGTTATTCTATCGGGATTTCTCTAAAACTAATAGTTTTTCCAATAAACTATATTTCTTTGGATAGTAAATTTCTAGCTCTCACATTATTAATGATTCATTCGGTTGTAATTCATCACAGTATTTTTCTCCCCTGATTCACAAGTTCACAGACCTATAATCATTATTTCTATTCATGAATGTTTCAGTTCCACTTTGTAAAAATCCACAAGGTGGTTTTAATTCAACAACAATGGTTATGAAACCTGTTATAATGGCTCCAGGATCTATTGTACAAGCAGTTTGCTCTCCTGGTACATTCAAAGATACCAGTGCATCAACTAACAGATTGTCTGGTTTCGATGTGGATCTAAGTTTACCAGAAAGTTCCTACAAATGTACAGGAATACGACTCAATAGTAGTGAACAACCTCAAGATCCACTTAAATATCAACCACAACTTTTTTATTCTGGTTATACATTGGCACCATGTTCACGTAAGTATCTATTTAAACAAGAAATCTAACAGAATAATAATAACAATCAATTTATTTGTTTTGATAGACTTTCAAATTCCTTTTTAAAAAGATTCAGCAAATATAAAAAATAATTTTCACATATTGATTTCCAAGGATTTAGTTGATTTCAGGTTAGAGAACTACTGGAAACCAGGTAGTCCTGGACAACGTTTTTATCCCAGTTTGAAACTCTTTTTAGCAGTATTCACCCATGACCTCCAGGTCACGAGCTGAACCTTTAGTTCATTCAGCCATTGGGACAGAATCTAATAACTGGTGAAGTCTAACTTCTGTTATAGATTAGTAATCACTCGTGACTCGACTATAAAATAAAATTGCCTAGACTTCTAATGAGAAGTCATTACCAGTACAACTAATCAAGTCGGGTGTGAGGACGAATACTTGCCGATGACATTGGTTGGTGGTTGCGCTCTATATCATAAAAGTGATTTTTTTTACTAAAATTCCACTCCTTAAAATAATTTGTACATCCAGTGACTATCTAAAAATATTTTTAATATTTTTATTGAATACTTCTTTTCCCCCGGAAAATTTAACTAATACGTTGTTAAATCATAGTAACAACATTCGAGACAAAAATAGAAATAACCACTTTGAATTTGTCGAATTCGAAAGATATATGATGTTTAGTTCGTACATAGTTGTAACTCACCGTGTATGGTAGGCTGTTATGAATGAGAAACATAGCAAATCTGGATATCGAAATGTTCACTTGCTTCTGAATAGTATTAGACATGTGGATAGACGGGTATTGCTATTACACATTAAGATCTAATTGATTTATAAGACCGAAGGTTTAAATGTGTAAATATTTTCGCCTTGTCTTAATCTTGGTATATCTAACTCTTCCTCCAGGTTACATTTCCTCATTGAATTTTGTATATTTGCTTTGTTCCATTTTCGCTTATTTCATTTCGAAAATATGTGAAGATAAGAACCTTATTTCATTGTTATACTGACTTGCTTTCTAAATCTGGTATTCATTTAGTTTATTATCATATTGCTTTCATTTACTATGATAAAATGGAAAGCAATGAATATTTATAAAAATCTAAGTGTTTCCCAACACTCCACTTATGTCATAGCCTTAATAAAGTTTGAAATGAACATTAGATTTACAGAACTAATCAGTTTATAAAAGCATAACTTATTTTTACAGCAGTTAAGCTGACTTTGAAAATAGCTTATATTACTATTTTATGAAAGCAAATAAATGATCATAGATTTCCAGACGGTAGGTGTTACGAACTTCCTGGAATAATTTGAGCGCCGAGTCAGATTGATTCATTATAAATTATTTAAATTAATCCCAGCGTGTTAAGAAAATCAAAACAAGATTTTTTTCTGAACTTTTCGCTGTGTAAGCCACAGCTTCTTCAGCAGATTTATTCGGATTTTTATTAATCATCAAAATATACAGTCAAAAATTTTTACATAAATTAAGTCAGTTTATTTGAAGGTCATTTGTCCATGGACATTTTTTACCAATAGAAATATGTAAGCAGTCATCACATATATTTGTAATGACTAATGTCAAATTGTTGTTGTGTTTACTCTTCTACAGTTGATTTGTAAAGATTAGATTTGTATGCGTGTGTGTGTGTATGTATGCTATTTGTCGTATGGAAAATACGTGAATTCATATGTGATAAACATGATACTACATGTTTTAAAAGGTCATGAAGGCTCATAGAGTGTTTGTTGTTTTTTCATGCCTTGCTTCATAAGAGTTTGCCATATAGGTGATAAGTCTATCCCTTCTTTCCTATTCACTGCATTTGATGTGGTTAAAATGTGCAAGGCTTCAGAAGTCAATCTTTCTTTATGAGAAGGAAATCCTCTTCCAAGAATTTCGACATTGTCTAAATCAATCTTATGTCCGCTGTCTATCGCATGCATTGCTATAGCCGATCTTTTTTCTAGACTTTTTAATTCTACTTCATTTCTAGGTGGACGTTTCGTGCATAGTCTATGTTCATTCACTCTGACCTTCACCTGCCTACTGCTCTCCCCTATATAGCATGCATCACATTCTGAATACTTTATCTTGTAGATACGATTACTTTGTAACATTTTGGGAACTATATCTTTGACATGAACCAGCACTTCCTCTAGATAATTAGAAGGTTTGACATAGACTTTGATATTATATGAAGCAAATAATCTTTGAAGTTGTTCAGCTGTGTCTTTTCGATATGGAATGGCTATCGTCGATAGCCAGGATTTTTCAATTTTTTGTTTTCCTTTATGCTCCTTTCTATTGATGATATTATCTAGTAGCTTTTCAGGATAAACATTTCCAATCAAAATCTGTTTTATATTGGTTATCTGTTATAATAATTCAATGTCACATAAACTTCTTATTTCCCATAGGTGTTAGATGTCCACTTTATCCTGAACTTTTGGATAATATAGAAAACAAACCTCAGGTTTTAAATGATCCAAATAGTTTAATTTATGACTATGGACAAAATATTTCATTACAATGCAGTCGTGGATATGTGAGCTTTCAAAATCCTAATAGCACATTAGCAACAATGATTTGTGCCCAAGCTAGTGGAGTGTCTAGTCAAGGTTTATGGAATCCAGAAAATTATCAGGCATGTGTAGGTAGGTGAAAATAAGGTTTTGGGCATATTTATGTTTACTGTAGAGAATACAAAAATCCATATAAATCCTAGCTTCACTGAGCCTTGCGCTATACTTCAGATATGCATTGAGTACCTTGAACGCAAACTGTTGCTCAGAAGATTTTAATCTTCATGTAAACATTAAGAAGACAGTAAATTGGGTGAAGAAATACTTTTCAATTAGATCGTCGTCAATCCTTTTGTCGTCTAAATGTTTAAACAGAGATTTTTGTATTACGCTGAAACCTTTTGATCAACAATTAGCACTCAAGGTGCTCAATAAGTATCGAAAGCATACAGCAAGCAAGGTTCAATGAAGCGAGGACCTATGTGGATATTTATCTGAATAACCATCTTGTTTGTTCTTCCGAGTGCTTATATATTTCAAATATTATTCAAGAAACAAACATATAGTGATACCATATACTATAACCTAAAAAGAGTTGAAATTATTTTGTTTAATTACCTGATGAGTACAAAACTTCATTAGTCAATAAGCTGCATTCACAATACATCTGATTATAGCAAAAATATTCCTGGATCAGAAACGTAGCCTGACACTTTTTAAACTTTAATTGATGGTCCAAGTATACGAAGAAGGATGTTTCCTTTCAGATAGTATTATACTAATGATCACCGTGGCGACAGGCTGTGAAATTGTATATACATATATATATACCTTTACTAGTGCGTAGATGGTTTGCGTCGATCTACAAATAATGGGATTTGTTGATAATTTACTAGCTACGAATCGCTTTAAATGGATACCTTATGTCAAAGTGAAGTGTTGAACTATTCAATTTTTCATTGACTTAATGAAACACTTTTAAGATATATCTTCATAAATTTAGTGATATTAAATGAAAATCTATTAAATCAACAAAAACAAATTGAGTAGTAAATATTTGTAAACAAAGATGTGATATTCACATACTATTTCTACTTAGTTGTTACACAAACCCTAAACAAACTGAGCCTCATATTTCAAATGAATTGTGCTCGGTGATGGCAGTTTATAATATACTTCCTCATTGCACATAATATTCAAAATATAAAACTGAGTTAGTTATTTCTTGCTACTCAATTGGGACAGGGAGTTTTCTTAACTGCATAGAAGACAATAACTACTTTAGCATCTCAACACTTGTCTTGTTCAGTATCAATTTGAGTGATTCTATCGTATTTACTTTGTATGACACTTTGGCAAAGACGATCAGCAGTTGAATTTCAGATCACAAATTACTGGAATACTGACTTTCTCACTCTACCTGTAAGCAGTACTCTTCATCACATAAAAATTATTAATTTACTAAACATTATGATACACAGATTTCAGCCAACAGTAAAAACTTTGTCCTAACACTTATTAGTACATCTGATTCATACTAAACATTGTTGATTATCATTACATATTAATTCTAGAAAATATGATATTCAATTTTCTATCATTTGTGAATCAAGATGTGTTCATCAATGAATCGGGCCCCAGTGGCTCAACAGTCTACGAGCTCGCCTTGTAACCAGAAGGTCCTGGGTTCGAACCCCGGTGGGTGCGTACTGCTGAAGAGTCCCAAACTAGGACGAAACAGCTGTCCAGTACTCTCAGGTTTTCCAGTGGTTCTCTAACTGATGTCAGCTCATGGTGAAATCCTCCATGGAATATTTAAATGTTTGTTATATCCAATGCTTGAAATTCTCTAGTGTAGGAAACAGTTTGTTATCATATAGGGATGGTAATACTTTGTATATTATTATTTTTATTCATTCCTTGTCTTCTGAATGGGCCTCAATAGCACATCCCCACTGAACTCAGTTTTATGACATAAATTTCACACATATATTTTCTTATTCCTTTACTTTCCTAGTAGAACATAGGGCTTCAAGCAAGAGGCTTGAAATTTAGGTTACAGTAGTGTTTCTTTTTACGGGATAGGGTTGCTAGCCTCATACCCAACCTTCCCTCTTTACCAGGCTTAGAGGGGTAAAACAGTGCGTCGGCCGGGAATCGGACCCTGAACCACCTGCGTGGTTGGCGAGCATTCTATCGCTGTGCCAGCCCCGCACATATATATATATATATATACATTCTCATGATTGCGAAAGATTTGTCATTAAAATTGTGGGTTTTAGATAACGTTTATGTAATGTGGAAAGCATTAATCGGGCACCAACCAAAGTGAAATTAAATAATTAAATTGAATGGTGCAACGTAATTGGAATAGGATTGAGTACAATTCAAGGTTGAAATGAATTAACAATCTCTGTCATGATTTGCGTCAGTAAAGCTTACATTTTCGTTTGTACAGATAAGTAGATGGAATTACGGTTCATTGAATTAGTTGTGTTTTCTGAGCTGGATAATTTAGTTGCGAAGCTTTCGTCGTCCTTCTAGATAACGTCTTCAGCGCAGGTTTTAGTTTTTCAGGTTTTTTTATAGTAAAACCTGCACTGTAGGTGTTGTCTAGAAGGACGAAGAAAGCTTTGCAACTAAATTATGCAGCTCAGAAATAAAAAAATAATTCACTATCATCCACCTGAGCTATAAATCTTCTCCATTATTTCGAAATTATGGTCAATTAGTCTATAAAAATGAAAACTCTCCATCAAAATAAGTATTTGATTAATTCAGCTCACGAAGCTGTCAATCATAATTTTGAATTATAACGTTCACATGCAATATAAATAATATATTTTTAAATATTAATCTGAATTTAAAGTTACTTATTCCATGTAGGCTAGTAATGGAATCAACGGTATGCGTTTTGCTATATTTGAAACTTGTCAGCTGAATGAACCTGTATCCTCAGTGAGACTCGTATTCTACTTATTTGATTTTCTCTAAGTTTATAACATTTTGGATAGCAAAGAGTTATCTAAAAATATTTAACAAATTAACTAAATCGAGAATACCTTCCTTTTACACTTTTTTTCTATTTATAGCTGTACGTTGTGATCAGAAACAATTGGAAAGTATGATACCTAAAAATGCAAAGCTAGTTAGTGCACGTAATCGTATTACAGATCAAGTTTTTGGTTCCCATCAAGTTAATCAGTTTTATTCCTATGGAAATATTATTTCAATCAGATGTAATCCAGGTTATTTATTTAATGATCGTACAACAGAAAAATCTGTATCCTGTGAATTAGCATCTGGTTCAGCTACAGTCGGAAAGTATCGAGGTTATTCTGGTACCGTACTGCCTTTACCAACAGAATGTCAAGGTAAATTAGATAAATATTTGGTTGAATATTTTTTAAAATTACGTTGAAATACTTCAAAAGCAAACTTTAAAAAATTCACTTCATAGTGAGTTTCGTATTGAAGACGTTGTCTGGAAAGATAATGAAAGCTTCATAAAGAAACCACCAAGCTGACATAACACAGTTACATCAAAATCATCCAACTGAGTTACAAATCTCCTCTATTACTTCACCTTCTACTTTTTGGTTACCTCTCTTTACTTATAGTTCTTGAAGTTATAGTTATTCCTTGATAACTATAGGTTTGAGTTTTACAGATACTATTGTGGTTTATTGACTTCCATTATTTAATTAAATGAAAAGCATTCAACAGAAGACAGACACACTTTTAGTGACTCTAGCTAGAATATCTATAGATGAATTGTGTTTAATTGTCATCAAGGAGAAGGAAAATTTTCAAATATATCTTGACGTATGTCCAGTTCTCATCAAAGCTCAGGACAGTCAAAAGAAATTACGCAATCTAAAATTAATCACATAAAAGTTTAACATAATAAAGGTAAAATAAAGTAACTAAGTGAGATGATGTAGCGTAGCTAAAAGGTGTGGATGCATTTTGACATCGGAAAACTAGAATTTCAATTTGGTGATTCAAGTGATTCACAATGGAAAACTCAGCGATACCTTTGAAGTAAAAACAGGAGTATGACAATTCAGCCTAATGTCATCGATTATATACCTCATTATAGTGGACTGGATCATGAGTCAGGCCGTAGGGAGCTAGAAGACAGGAATACGTTGGGCTCTAGAAGATTTGAACTTCGTGGACGATTTATGTCTAATGTCACAGAAACACGAAGATCTACAGGTGAATACCAACAGGTTGGCAGAAGACTGAAGTAGCGAACATACTTAAGATAACTCCATTGTGGATAAGATTTTATTCTGATAAATCACACAGTATTGTACGGTGATATTAACTGATGACGTTTCAAGCACAAACTATTGCTCATAATCATATCAACTGACAAACTAATTACAAATTTGGAGTTCGCCTAAATTTCCATCCATTCAAGTTTCCGCCTTACGGAAAAGCGTATATAAAAGTGAGGGAAAGGAAGGTCATGAGACTACGATAGAAGAAAAGCACTAGGGGAGAAAATAATCAGTGAGGATTTTTAGGATCTGAATGTCAACGGAGTAAATACATCCACACCACTTTAGATGACACAACACCACCTCATCAACAATCTGTAACCACTGATTCACGGAATTCCGAAATTCTCAAGCTACTAATCTCCGCCACCCTATGATGCTCAAACTAAAAGTCTAAGTCTTCATGTACTGCTGCTGTAGTTTGATCTCAACAAACCTGACACTTTTCTAAACTAATCTAACCTGGATAAAGTCTCATGGATAAAGACGGTGCCTTGGCATTTGTGTCACATTTCTCAACCACCTCAGTCGACTAAACTTCATAACATTACCGACAGATAATAATTATACTTTATTACCGACAGACTTTCCTTCATTAACTATATATCCTAGTCTAGCCCTAATATATATGATCATATTGCGCCTCTTGAAACGACGTATCGAGCTAAGACACCCAAAAGCACTAATGCAACTTTTAAAACGTAATGTTTCCACAAATCGACCGTCTAATGGCGACCTAGGAAGTTGTTTGGTGATGACAAATGTATGAACAGAAATCCAGTGATCAGATGTGTAATGTGATCATAAAAGTCAGTCATAAGATACTGTAATATATCTTTGACTCCATTTTGTAAAACTAGATTCCGAACAACAGAAATCCCTTTGCCGAGGTATTATGATACAGTATCTTATTTCGCTAGCTATCATTAACGTATGGCTAATTGCCACTGAGAACGTTAAGAGTGGACTCAAACACCAAAGTGGGACTTACTGCCAACCTAGTTTTGAAAAACTTTAGTAAAGGTTAGAACCTACTAAATCGTACGTCCCAAGAATGTAAAATGTCCCCCTAAGATCATTAAGTAGTGACTAATGTTAGACTTCTTTCTGATGCTTTATGATACCAGGGAAACCTCACTCTGAATTAATCAATGGGAGGATCTAACATGCAGTCGCATTTAATACTGTCCGAATTGTGTGTGTGAGTGTGTCTGAAGTGAATTCAAAAACGTGACATTTTAGTGACACCTAGACTCATTTGTTACGACTACCAAATTTCAGCGTGAATTACTGCTGCACTTATTTCTAGCTAGCATGTGAAATAACAATAAACTCAACGGGAACTGCTGACAGTTGTTGACACGTGTATGCACATTTAGGTATTGCTCCATTATAAACTATGTAATTTTATTGAGGCAATTAACTATTCTTTTATTCCAGAGGCTACTTGCTTATACGAACAGGCTGTAATACAATCAGATTCAAATATGCAACCATATTTTATTGTTGTAAGAAGTACTATTGATGTAGTGAACTTAACCAGGCATGCTGGAGTTCCATATCCGCGTGGAACAGTGATTCGATACTTTTGCAAGGATGGATATGAAAGCATCAATCAAAATTCAGAATTAAATATTACTTGCGGTGATTATGGCCAGTGGATACCACAGTTGGTCGGCTGTATCGGTAATATAACAAATAAACTTTTTACATTGACAAAATTTATATATGACGAGCTAATTTTATTTCTAAATAGCACTATATATATATATATATTCGAATACTGTGTATAATAATGTTAAGTCATTCACTGTGGTGGTTATATTTCAAAACTGATTGGTAGAATCTGATAAGCAATTAAGATGTTAAAAACGTCATAATCTACTTTGTACTGAATATTAAATCCGCATAATATGAGGGCTTCTAATTTACTCCTGAAAGGTAACTGACTAAAGTTATGAATGTTTTTCAGATTCCTTGAGTAATTTTGAACATTTGGTAAGGTTTTAACCACTAAATATATTTGAAATTTAGTGTACAAACATTTTCGTAAAGTTTATAAATCGCTGCCTGAAATGGACTGAGTTTTTAATTTAGAGCTTTGCGTAAAATTACTTTAGTTCAAGTTACCACACTTTAGAAAAGCATACATAGAGATTGATGGAAGAAATGCTAAGAAACCACAGTAAACGAAAATCTATGCAAGAAAGGAGAACTACCGGAATGTTAGTGAGAATCTTTTTAGCCTGGGAGATAATAAGTAGTTTATACATAGGAACTTATGGAAATAACAATAGAATCTGAAATAGTGTAGTGGACTGTAATACTATGACATTTAATGAACTAAGCAATGAATTTTTTTGCAATTTTATCGCCTGATGAACTTTAGAAATTTAAGAACAATAGATTGATCAGGATGCCATGACGTCACTATACATTCTTGAAATTTGGGTCATTTATTCAATCTTCAGGCAATGACAATTTTATTTTTTTTTAATTTTTAGCTCGGATTGAAAAAGTCCCTGTAAGTCTTACTGGACGTTTTCAGAGTGCACCTGAAGAAGCTGAATCAGCGACGAAATTATCATCAATCATGTTTATTATGGTCTTTATATTTTTGGGACTTATTTTAATATTAGACCTGGCAACCATTGGAAGAGATTTCAAACAAATTAAAAGTAATATTAAATTACAAAAGAGGAGAATAAACCACTCAAAAAACAAAAGTAAAATGGGATAACAATTTTTGCAATAAGACAAATAACATACAGCAATTGCGTTCTAGTCACTTTAAATGGAAAAAATACGTTATATCTTATTTTTGTTGTCTTATTCACCACTATTCAAGATGTAATTGTAAATTCTTAACATTTTCACATAGTCTTGTCAATATAAATTCTCCTTGTTTTACTTTAACTAACTTTAGTGTTAGCAAGTGAGGTGACAAATATACAGACCCGCCAAAATGTACATTTAAAGAGTCAATATTCTCTTAATTTTCAATATTGAAATCTTTTTTGATTGGACACTAGTCAGTAACTAGTGTAATGTGTCTAGTCCTATCTTCGGTGCAGACTGAATTCTATCAGTCAAGCTTGCAATGTAGCCACCATGCTAGGTGGCTTGCCATCATGGTGCACTGTTAATTGTTGGTATTATAGGGTTGCAGTCAATCGACAGGGACCCTTGGACCTAGGTTTCGTTCTAGTTGGCACTCATCAGCAAGGCGTAACTGCAACCTCGAAGGAACTCATTTCCCTTCTGAGCTTCGTGCCCGCGTTACCCAGTGCTGCAGTCAGAGACATTACCACTGAGTTATTCAGGCTCGTGATTGACCTCCTGTAGGACTGTATTGGATACTTTTGATTGGACCTCAGTCAATATCCAATACAGTATATACTATATTTGCTTAATCCCAGACAGCCGGAAGAATTCAAACCACCTAGACTCTGATAATACAGAATTCAAGCTGTGATGAAGTATTATTTGGAAGTTTGCTTAGTTCTTATTCGTAAAAATACACTTTTCGAAGTAAAATATCACCGATAAGAAGACTCTAGAATATCTGGATTTCGCAGATGATATACGTCTAATGTCACACAAACTCGAAGACTTGCAGGTAAAAACCAATAAATTGACTGAAAAAGCAGGTGAACATAGAGAAGATGAAGATAACCAACCGATGAATCAAAACAACAACCAGCAATAGCCACCATCAATGGGAGATTTAACAGAGGTTACTTCCTTCACTTATCTGGGAAGCATAGTTTCAAGCATAGCTGGAACGGATGAAGATGTCATAGCCAGCCAACCAGCCAGAATTGGAAAGGCAAGATACGCCTTCATCAACCTGAAACCAGTTTGGAAATCTTCTACATCCAAAAGAGAAAAAAGATTCGGATCTTCAGCACCAATGTCAAGTCAGTCCTTCTATACTTACACTGCGTGTCACGAAAAGGATTTCCAGCAGGTCTCAACCACTACCTTAGATGTCTCCATACTAAAGATCAAATGGAAGGAAAGAAATAATTAGTAACAAGAAACTGTAGGGACAAGCTAACAAAGAGCCGATCGCTGAATAATTACGTAGGAGAAAATGGAGATGCATCGGACATGCGGTGAGAACGCCATCAAGTGACATCGCGCACCAGGCTATCACTCGAGTGGAATCCAAATGGGAAGCGACGGGTGGGTCTTCCTAGGGTGACATAGAGGAGATCGTGTGAGGAAGAGATGAAAGATTATAGGCAATAGTGGACCCAACTGAATAGGATGGCAGAATACAGAAGAAAATGGAGATGTGTTGTTGAAGTCCTATTTTTCACTTGGGACTCAAGGGAAAAAATTATTTAATTTTATTACCTGAAATAGGTGAATCGTTTTGTGGTTTTTAAGTATCTACCGGGCAAGTAACTTGATTTGAGATTTAATGCACACTTGTCCTCTTCTTCAAAAAGTACACTAAGTCCTATGATTACACGACCTGAATTATGGCGAATAAATACGCAAGAAACCGATTTTGTCGACATCGTGTCGCTTCTTTTCTAGACAAGTATTATGTACCTTATTTTGTGCGGTTTATCAACAATAGACTAAATTAACACTGTGATCGGTTGTTCAAAATGCTAGAATCTTTTATGTACTTTTTTACAGAACACCAGACGATTTTCTAAATCCTGCACTATAAGATTTATTATTTTAAAACCAATTATAAGTGCAAACGAATTCAAAACATCCTAAGAATGACTAAATTTCTATGGTATTTTGTGTCTACCGTTTATAACACAAGACATTAACTCCAAATAAAAATCATTTTACTTTCCTGATTTAATCATTTGCAAATAATCGGTAACTTAGTTTGCAGATACAAGGAAAAGAGCCATTTAATTTTGTATTTACAAAGCTGGTTTTATTATCACTGATTCTTTGTGAGCTAAGATATCGGCAAATAAACGGTCCCAGTCCCACGTTTCATCTCTCTAAGTAATAAAGGTGGAATTATATGCATATGTTTCGACTTTTACCTCTTGTAGTTCAGCCTCAGAAAATAAATGCTTTGTTAACACACTTAAATTGATGTCGTTATCCTGAAATGGAAAAGGTAACAAATAATTAGGACATTTAAAGACAAAACAGCCTCACCAATGCTGGAAGAGCGCCGTGGTTGATTAGCTCTTGATTAAGCTCACGAAATGACGGGATCTTGTTTACGATCACACTAAATAAATTAAAAAATAGAGAGGGATGAAGAACAATTTATTTTAATTAGACCTATCCAAGAAAAATTGAAAAACATAATCTACTTCACAATACAGGAGTAATTTTTAAAAAATCAATCCGCACAGTATCTCGATTATGATATGCAGAAAGACTACGTTCGCCCTAACTAGTAGTACTACGCACCTGCATAATCTGGTAATTTGATCGATGGATAAATGCTCTTTAGACAGACATTCAAATATTCTAGTCATTTTCTGAATATATGTGTTAATTGATGTATGTGGGGTCGCTCAACGACCTACGTATTTCACTTAAGACCAGTTGGCCTGACTTATCTAAAGACTTGTGAACACAACTGGGCTACATGGCACTACCAGAAAAAACCATGCTTGGATTTTGAATCTCAAAAAACATGTGTCTTGTGAAAAACAGTCTTTATTGAATTTTTCAGTGAATTTTAAATACATTACGTGTTGCCTGAATTTCACATCGCGTAATATTTTGTTGCACAATTTTGAAGTATGAAACGGACATTTATAAGGCGATACTGTAATTTTTTAGTGTGGTGCTTTATTTAACATGAGCACGACAATACGAAAAAAATGAGCGATGATACCAAAACGGAAATACGACGTCTACTTACAAAAGAAATTAGCGATTCTATAAAGCGTATGAATTCATAATTTCTCTGCAACTACTACTAATTCTTCAATTATGTGACGGAAGTATCATTTGAAATACAGGACTTTTCCTCACACATAATGATCCACAAATTCAGAAGATATACTCAGTAGACTGAAATCAAATGTTTTTTAGTGTGAGTTAAACTGCGCAAGCCTACGTGTAATTTTTACAGCCAAGACACGAAAATAGGCATATGAAATTTCGTGTGAAAAAGCACCAGTTCATACTGTTAGACTTCATGATAGCAGGAAGTGAGAGTTGAGATGACTATTATATGAAACGATTTGACTAAGAATGTGTAGCAAGATCATGAGATCCGATTTTGGAACAGATCTATATCCGCAGGTTGAAATTCCGTTGCGGAAAACTGAAATCAGCAGGTGATACGTTCAGACTAAAGATTTGGCATGAAAGAAAGTCCCAGCAATCATTTCCTTTTTCACCATTTATTCAACTTATGTGGCAGCCTTATATTGAAAGTGCTCAGGGAAACAGTTGTTATATTTCTGTCCATATAAGTTGGCTGAGGCGTTACCTGAAACAGTTTACTGATGTACACAAATTAGATTAGGTAACAACTTGCTGACGACCAACGTATAACTTGTTAATATTGACGTTATTCATCAAAATCTTACTTCGGAGCAGCAGCAGCGTGTGAGTCGCCAAATCCATCTTCAGCGCTACCGACATCAGGTATTATCGGTATCTCTAAGTATGATGTGGAACTACACAGTAATTACCAAGTTCTTCATCAGAATCTAGAAGATACAGAATAAAATAAATCAATGACTTTACCTTGCTTGGATGTGAAATCATTGATATCTCGTGAAATATCCTGAGCTCTATACACAGAAGCGTAATTATGCGGAAATCAACTCACCGCCTGTAAAGAGAGACAATATTATTTCTTTTCACAATCACATTTGATTACCTTCCATATGACACGCTGTGGCAAATATCGTCTTCATTCCAAACGGCTACTTTTCTCTCTGGAAAATCACCGCACTCCTTATTTGGAATACACAAGCAACATCAATCGATATTAAATAGGAGCAGTATATCCTACTGCGAAATACATACCACAATCTCAGGCGATTTCTGGAAACTGCTGTTATCACAAATCAAACCATTCTTTTCCCTGACAATTGACTTTGCTCTCCTGCCATTTTTGGCAGGCTGCTTAAAAATTTGTGGTAAGTTTTCAGACTGAAGTTACTTTAGCGAAATCTCGATTCCCTTCCAAATCATCCGCCATAGAGGTGTCTGCTGTCATGACAACGGAAGACTCGTGACGGTATGTCCAGTGTCAAGGTCATGACTGATTCCCCCGTAGACTGGTTGTACGTTTTCGCGAATTTGTTCTCCACTGAAATTTACAATTGTAATTTGATGTTTTTCATGTGTCGAGGTCAACTTTTGTCACTTTAAGCTACCATTAGCTTATTTTTAGTCTGAAGTTCACAGTTATTAAATTGATAGTTAACGATTGTGGTAAACCTGCAATCATTGAGCTACTTCGCGTATACTAGCCTGGCATAGCGAGATGTTCACAGCACAGTAGGAAATTTAGTTGCAGTCTAGTTAACCCTTTGACGCTTGGGATAGTACAAGTGACGTATCTTATTATTTTTTTATTATTTTTGATTACAGCTTGATTCCACACCGTATTTTTGGTACAATTGTGGAATTTTCAGCGTGGATATCGGTAGTAATTTCTATCTCACTTCCGAGATACTTTTATCATGAAACAATAAACTGAGGACTGTTACGAACTTTCACTCTTAGCCATGCGAATAAAAATGAAGTATAACAACAATTCAGGCGTATATGATTATA